TTATCCAAATTATGAAATAGAATCTTTACTCCATTATATTTCGTTCCGCACCATTTTATTTTAGTCTATTTTTTTTAAAATTTCTAATAACTGAGTGGTGATTAATGTTATTTAATTGAGAGATATCCATTTCCGATTATAAATTTCATTTGGGAATTAAAATTTGTGTTTCAGTAATCAATATTCTATTTTATGGGGTAAATTTTAATTAAAAATAATAGTACTGATAGTGTATATAAGTTAGATGAAAACAGTTATAACTTAGAATGAAGGGACCATGTCATGCTTTTTTTTAGTTGTCACCAAGATAAAGAAGTAATGAATGAAAACATATCCATAAGAGAAAGAGTATGTATTTAGAGGAAATTTTTTCAGAAAACAATAGAAATAATAAAGCAAGGAAATGGTAGAAAAACAAAGAAATTATGTGAAGCTTCAGTTCCTTGTTCAACATTAAAAAGACATATTTTTACAGAAAAACAAGGTCTTGCAATCCATGAAAGAAAAAAGTCTGATAACATGACACATTCATGATACATCACAAAGAAGTTGAATCCAAACCAGAAATCATTCATTTTTTACATGTTTCATATTTCTTTGTCAAGGGAAGACAACTCTACAACTGTGATTTGACATTTTTTATATACCTTCACAAACTCTCGTTGGTGTGGAATGCCACATGGAAAATTTCAATTTCCACACCTGGAAAGTCTAATACCTACCAATTTAAAGCACTATATTTAGTATAGAGAATTACATAGGTGAGACTGTTTTTACAATGAAAATAGCTCTCGATGTAGATTAACAATAATACAATGAAAACATCCATAATAGAAAGACATTTTACTGAAAGCAGTAGAATTAGCAGAGCAAGGAATTTAACGTTAGAAAAATAACGAAATTATACGAAACTTCAGTTTCCTTGTTCAACATTAAAAAGACATATTTTAACAAGAAACAAGGTCTTACAGTGCTTGTAGGAAAAATCTCTCATAACATGATCCATACATGTACATCACAAACAAATTGAATCAAAAGCAGAGTCATTCGTTTAATCAGATGTTTCATATTTCCTTACTAAATAAATATGAGACTCCTTTTCCTCACACATGATATATTCATCAATGATATCTTCTATGCAAAAAAAGGCTTCTCTGATAACTACTCGGCAAGTGCACCGAATTGTTTTAAGTAAATACCACAGTAAGTGAGTATCGTCCCACAAGAATTGACTTATCAAACAATACTTCACTAATCAAATTTCTAGTTAGACAATATCAACTATTTGGATTGAAGAAAGCTCTACAATTGAAATTAAAACAAAATAGAGATTTATAATAGAATAAATATTGCCTTCAACAAGTAAAGAGTGATATCAAGATTTAAAACACTAGAGGTTAGGATGATCTAAGTTTTTCTTAATCCGTGTTGAATTTCTAAACACTTGAATTGAAAATCTTAGATTAATGAAAGGATTTCAAGTGAATGAACCCCAATTCCTTGGTGAATCCATTCTTTACTTATGAAAAAATATGACAATTCCTTGACTATATCTCAACACAAATATAGATGAAGCACTAAATCAATCCACATATCACACAAAATTCAAGAAATATTCCTAAACCTTGAAATTCATGTAGTTCATCTTTTGAGCTAATTCATACACAATTTTTCCAAATCATATAAGAACCCTAATCCACTCATGAACAAAAACTCATGATTCTTACATATATAATCGAAAGACGAACAATTAATCCAAGAAATCCAATATCAAAACCTTAGAAATCCAATCTCAATACACCCATCTCAGACCTAATCCTTTCCCCTAGCTATGGAGTTTAGCAACTCATTCTATGAAGAACAAAGAAGAAAATTGTAGGAAATTCCATAAAGAACCAAAAATTGGAAAGATGAATCTTCAATCTCTCCTCTTCCTCTTGTTCCCAATTTGTCTCGTAGCTCCAAGCTCTTTTCCTCCGTTTTCTCTTGAGTTCGCCCTTGCTTCAATCCCCCTCTAATCCTTTTCTTTCCTTCTATTTATATGAAAATTTACTTGACAGCATCCGTGGGCGCCTAGGCGTTGCGATTTGGGCTCTTGGGCTGCAGGTCACCAGAGAGCACAGCACACCATGGCTTAGGCGTTGCGATTTGGGTGCCTAGGATGCCGGTTACCTGAGAGCAAAATAAAACTAGTAAATTTCGCCTGGGCGGTGGAGAAGCGCTCATAATTCCAGCAAAACATTTAGAAAATGCAATAACATAAACAACTAATGAAGACAAAGAAAAAGACTACTCAAAATAACTTTTTAAAGGGTTTTGGATGTCTTTATACTCTGAAAATCTCAATAAATTGATGGAACATCATTCTCTCAGTTGCTTCACCCTTTTTGTGATTCCATCACGACTTTTATCTTCTTCAGATTCAGCTTCAGCCACTTTATCAGCATCATTGATCAAAGCTTGAATGCTTTCTAATTCATCTTTAATGTCTTCTACTTCTTTAGGAACACCTCTCAGCATATTGGCTACTTCCATAAACAGAGGAAGCAAATGCTCACGAGCAAAGGACACTGCGATTTCTGCCATTTTATTTTTGGCTTTCTGGTGATGAGATCAAAACTTTATGTTCTTCAAGATTATATAGTAAGAAGAGGACTTAGTTTTCTCTTCCCTAATTCATCTTTAATATGTATTCAGCAAGTTTCATATGGATAATTTATATTTGTTTATATGGACCATGCTTGTCATTGTAATTAGTTGTACCAATAGAAAAACATCACGTGATTAGGATGATAATGGGTAGAGTACTATAATTTGAATTACTCACACAATTTGCTCTAGTTTCAGAGACAGGTTTAGCATGTGATGCCACTATCTTGGCTCAGTTCAATCTTTCAACTGAGCTTAGAATTTGTTAACATTAATTAGTTGTCACCGTATCCATACCATATTACGTAGCCAATATTTAAATAAGTTGCAAATATATAACAAAGAAAATGATGCCACATGGCCATTTTCTTGCAGCATGGTGGAAATTGTACCCAAAAGAATAGTTCTTTTTGGTTTTAATGAGAAATTATGACAAATTTTACATATTTTGAGGTTTTTTTTTTTATCATTGTTGGGTTAAACAAGCAACAACCAGAACTTGCATACTCCATTTCCATTAAAACAAATGTGCATTAAAATATGTCCTTCTGTAGCACTTTTTCAAGTCCTTCTGAATGAGTATTAGGTTTACAGGTAACAAAAGTGACAAAATTCCTTTCTCTGTGTCTTGTATTAAAACAAGTGCTCCTTTGAAAATTATATTTTCAAATGTTTGGGGACCTTCCCCTATTGTCTCTAATGAAACTGAGGTAGCCTATATTTCCATTTTAATAGATATGTTTAATTTTTTTTTTGAAAATTTAAAAAACTGAGGATTTTCTAAAGAAAATGTAAGATAATACTCTTGTTATAATTTTTGAAATTTTATGAATCTTGTAGTTTGTATTGATTAATATGTAAATGATTTTTAATAATAATAAAGAAGTGATATATCTATTCTTAGTTATTTTTTATTAATTTAAAATTAGTTGTCATATTTAAATTTAAATATAATTCAATTAAAACTAGATTCATAATATTTAAATAAAATGTATAAATTTAAATAATATACATGTTTCAAAACTTAATTTTTAAAAATAATTAGTTAGATGAACTTAGATACACACACACAAAAAAAAAAAAATAGTATCATATTACTGTTATAATTTTTTTGAGGGTCTTAGCTGGTATGCCAAAAATAACTCCTTACATTTTATAAATAATATAAATTGTTTACTTTTATTCTCATGGAATGTTTCAATTTAATTTTTATACATATAATTAATTTCTTATTTGATAATAAGAATTTGCTAAAATTATAATGCAGTAAAGTGTAAAATTAATATTAGAAATACATGTTTTCAATGTAAGGGTATTATAAGAATAATAAAATTATAATTTATTCCGCTTTGTTTACTATCCAAACAGTGGATCGATTTTTTTAAATTCCATCATAGTATCCAAGTAATGAAATAGAATCTTTACTCCATTATATTTCATTCCGTACCAATTTATTTTAGTCTAAAATTGATTTTTTTTTCTTCTTAATTTCTAACAACTGAGTGGTTATTAATGTTATTAAATTGAGAGAGATCCATTTCCGATATCCAATGAGATTATAAATTTCTTTTGGGAATTAAAATTTGTGTTTCAGCAATCAATATTCTATTTTATGGGATGAATTTTAATTAAAAAATAATATTACTGATAGTGTATATAGTTTTTTTTCATTATTTTAACGTATATTTTATGGAAATATTTTGTTTTCTCAAAAAGAGGTTCCATGATAAAACAAATTTTCTTTTGCAAAATAATTGAAGTAGAAGATTTTATTCCATTGTGTCTTAAAATAAGAGGAGGGAAGAATTGTATCCACGAGACTCTGAATTAAAAATGTTATTCCTTTTTTAAAAAAAAATAAATTCACATATTCTCTATTTTTGAACACCTTGACAGGATTAAATTTTCTTGAATATTTAATTAATATCAATAGCTTTATGCCTTCAAAATTCGGATAGAATAAATTTTTAGTATATTTGTTGAAAATGAAGAATTATTACTGATAATCAGTAAGTATCACTCTGGAATCTGCTATCTGCAATGGATTTAAGTTTTTTCCTAAGGAAAATGCAGTAATTATATATATGCTAACTTGGATAGCATCTTCTTCAAAACGCTCACCTTCTCTGTCATTTCTTGTCCAAATAACAATGTTACAGTTTGTCCATTTATACAAGCGATCTTTTCACATGAGCATGTCGTTACTAACTTATAATTGATTCTCATCTAAATGTTAGCTGAAAACTGCTATAACTTAGAAGAAGGACCATATAATGCATTTTTTTTTAGTTATGTAACCAAGATAAAGAAGTAATGAATGAAAACATATCCATAAGAGAAAGAGTATGTATCTAGAGGAAATTTTTCAGAAAACAATAGAATTAAAAAAGCAGGTAAAATCCTAGAAAAACAAAGAAATTATATGAAGCTCTAGTTCCTTGTTCAACATTAAAACTACAGATTTTAACTGATAAACAAGGTCTTAGAATCCATAAGAGAAAAACTCATAACATGAGACATCACAAAGAAGTTGAATCCAAACAAGAAATCATTCATTTTTCACAGGTTTCATATTTCTTTGTCAAGGGAAGACAACTCTACAACTAAGATTTGACATTTTCTACCCACATCGGTTGGATGGACAATTTTTTAGGTAGAGAGCCTCATAACAGGTAGAACATCACAATTCAATTCCAAAACTTTAATGTAATGGGTGTTTGGGTCTATCTCTTTATAGATCCCTAACTTGCCCATATCTCATTCTATGTGAAACTCAATTTACACTTGATTTCAACAAATCCACAAACTCTAGTTGGTGTCGAAGGCCACATGGAGATTTTGAATTTCCATACCTGGGAAGTCTAATACCTGCCAATTTAAAGCACTATATTTAGTATAGAGCATTACATAGGTGAGACTGTTTTTACAATGCAAATTAAGAAAGAAATTAAATAGCTCTCGATGTAGATTAACAATAATAAAATGAAAACATCCATAAGAGAAAGACATTATGCAGAAAGCAGTAGAATTAACAGAGCGAGGAATTAAACGTTAGAAAAATTACGAAATGATAGGAAACTTAAGTTTCCTTGTTCAACATCAGAAGGACATATTTTAACAGAAAAATAAGGTCTTACAGTCCTTGTAGGAAAAACTCTCATAAAATGATCCATGCATGTACATCACAAACAAATTGAATCAAAAGCAGAGTCATTCATTTAATCAGAGGTTTCATATTTCTTTACTAAAGAAATGTAACTACATATCTTCTTCAATTGGGAACTGATGTACCTGTGCAGCAATGCAAAAATAGCTTTTGAGGGCCCAAAACAATACCTTATCATAATTTCTTAATGCTGATTAGAAAATTTTTATCCTCAATCTCTACTGGGTAAACTTTTAAAGAAGCATTGTAAAAAAAATCAATATAAAAATTAAATAAATTTTCTCTCATAAGTTAAAAATAATCTATGCTTCTTTATCTTTTTATAAATTTTTTCATTTAACTTTTTAAAACTTTAAAAAGATAAGTTCTAACTTACAAAAAAAGTTTTATTTATTTTTACAGTGACTTTTCTTTTTCTCTATAAAAGCTTTTCTAGAAGTTTTGCAAAACTTGACCATGCACTATAAAAAAACTCGAAAATAGAGAAACGATTTTAAGAATTAGATAAAGCTTACATTGTCCTTGTCCTTATGAGCAAATAGTACACAATACCAAGAATATCATAATGCAGTTATTTGGAAGAAAAGGCGAACCTTTTATTTATTTCTAAGGTTTGGTTTCCATAACCTGAGCATCAATGCTTACATAGGGCACATGCTGTATGATCCAGCGATCTTGTCCTCCATCAGGAGCAATGTTGTCCAAAAATTCAGCTGACATCTCCCCCTCCACTTGGAAAACTTGAAGTTTCTCTAAGTTGTGAATGCCAATGGGTACGGTCTTGAGTAAGAAAAGACTATAAAAGGTTAGCCTTTCCAAAGAACTCATTGCTCCTTTCTCTATGACAATGGAATTCAAGTTATCTAAACGACTTAGGTTTAGTTCCTTTAGGTTCTGAAACTCTCCTTGAAAATGCAAACTTTCACCTACATAAGCTTCGAATCCAATATCGAGGTACATCAAATTTTGAAGATTTTTTAATGATTTCAGTGGATCTTCAATTAACTCGCACCAACGCAAGGTTAATTTTGCAAGATTTGGCAGCTCTTGAACCCATTCTGGCAACTTATTCAACTTCAGTTCAAGGCGAAGCTTCCAAAGAAACTTAGGAGGGGATGAAACCAAACTCAAATCAATAACACCACCAAAAAACAAACCAAAACCAATACATAGTTCCTCCAAGTGTTGCATCTGATTTAGTAAGGAACAAAGAGCGTTTTCATGTTCTGTGGCAATATCAATCAGGCTTAAGCTCCTTAACTGCCTCAGCTTTTCTAGCTCTCTAGTAATTAGCTCAAATCTATCATCATAGGTTATACTCACCTTCTTCAATGTTTGGAGGGAAGTCATTCCTTCAATGCCATCCTTCATTTGAATCAATTTCAGCAGGGTTCCCGAAAGATATCTTAGCTTTCTAAGCTTGTAGATTTCCTTTGGCAAGATTCTGATGAGTGTACCGCTTATATTCAAGCTCTCTAGGTTCTGGAGGTTACCAATGGATTTTGGAAGACTATCAATGGGTAAATACTCGAAGCTTAAATACTTAAGGTGCATGAAATTTCCCAAACTTTTGGGAAAGAAAAACCACTTGTAAGCCGTTTCAAAATGAAGTACCTTCAATAGCTTGTATTTCTTGGGGAGTTCTTCCACCCAGCTGGTTGAGAAAATAGGCTTTATATCACTGAAGAAGAAAAACAGTGTCCGAACATGTGAGCCCTCAATATTTTCCATGGAAACATAAGATGTGGTTTTAAGTGATTGGCGCCGAGTTATACCTCCACTTGACACTAGCTCACTGTCTTCACCAATATACTCACAAAATCTTAAATACTTACATTTTTCAAGGATCATCTCCCGGGTCAAGTCATGAACTTGACAAACACTAACTTTTCCATCAATGGTAAATGAACGTGCTTGCACCAAACTTCGACCAACCAACTCTCTTAAATATTGCTGTCCAACTTCTTCCAAGGTTTTCCCCTTTTCATATTTTACAAACCCTTCAGCTATCCACTGTCGAATGAGTCTTTTCGATCTAACTGCATAGTCTTCAGGATACATTCCGAAATACAGCAAGCATGGCTTAAGATAGTAGGGCAAATCATCATAACTAAAGCCTAAAATTTTATTTATACTGGAATTATTCCCCAACTCTGAACTTAGATTATTACAAAACCTTTTCCATTCAAGTGCAGTAGATATTCCTTTGGAACATAAAAGACCACCAATGCACACAATTGCTAGTGGCAAGCCCTTACATTTTTCAACGATTTCACAAGATATTTCCACCAAATCATCTGGACAACGTCCATTGAAATCATGTTGAAATGTCTTCTTATAGAATAGCTCCAAAGATTTTTCATGAGATAAAGGTTCCAACATGTGCACATGAACAGAAGAAAATTTCTTACAAGACATTGCAACATCTTCTTTCCTAGTTGTAATAAGTATCCTACTTCCATTTTTATTATCCAATAGAGCGAATTGAATAACATCCCAAAAATGTGGATTCCATACATCATCAAACACGACAACATACCTCTTCTGTTGCAAGCAGTTTCTCGTTTCTTTAATCAATGCTTCTTGATCCATTTCAATAGTCTCCTCTTTTTCTGTGCCAAGCTTTTGCAACAGGTTCCTCAGCAACTCATCCACACTGTAGGACTGAGATACTGTGATCCATGCTTGAAAATCGAAGTGGCAAGTCACCTTCGGGTTGTTGAAAACTCTGTTTGCAAGAGTGGTCTTACCCTGTCCTCCCATTCCTACCACAGAGATGACAGTGCGTTCTTCTGGACCTTCTACCAACAAACCAATCAATTTATCTCTTGGTTTTTCAAAGCCCACAAGCTCAGCCTCCTCAACAAAGAGGGAGGCGATTCGGGGGTCATGCCATTTTACATTTTGGCTTCCTCCAGAACTACTTGATCCTCGTTCGAAAGAATATGTTTCACTTCTTTCCCTGATTCCTCGGACATGTGACTTAATATCCCGAATCTCAGATGCTATTCGGTGACGAGGAATCAGAGTTTTGATCAAGTGAGCAATCTTGTTGAGTGAGACTACACATCCGGGATCATGAGGTTTCTTTCCAACGTAGATAAGATATTCATCAATGATATCTTCTATCCGAAAAGCTGCTTCTCTCGCCTGCTTCACCCATGTTTTGACTCCTTCATCTGTGTTTTCTCCTTCTGCCACTGCCCTTCTATCTGCGTCCTTGAGAAAGGCTTGGATGCTTTCAAGTTCATCTTTTATGTCTGCAAATTCTTTGTGAATGCCTTTGAGCAGATTGGCTTCTCCCTTTAGCAGTGGAAGCAGATGATCAACAGCAAGAGACACAGCCATTTCCGCCATCTGAGTTTAGATCTGATTTTGGCTGTACTGTGAGATGAAGACAGGGTACTGTATTGTAGCGGAGGTCTTATCTCTGAACTACGATGCATTATTGGATAAGATGGATGAGAGAATGTATAAGCAATTATTTGAGACAACATGATTGTTTATTATTAATCAAGAGCACACAGAAATTTATTTGCCAGAATCCGATTCTAGTTCTGTCACTCGCACACAGGTTAAATTATTTAAAAATATATTTTAATTTGATAAATCTATTTAAAAATAAGCATATGAAACAGTAAATTCTTTCAAATGAGAAATTCAGTAAGATTTTGACAGAATTTCTTACATCATTTCAAAATATATTGGCCTCACTCCCTCAAATGAGCTTGATCCATTATATTTACCATCATCAATACCACCAAATGGAATGAAGATTAACAGAATAAAAAAGGGTTTTCCCTTTCATATTTAACAAACCCTTCAGCTATCCATTGTTGAATGAGTCTTTCCAATCTAATTTCATAGTCTTCAGGAAACATTCCAAAATACAATTAACAAGCATGATTTAAGATAATAAGGCAAACCATCATCACTAAAACATCAAATTTTAGTTATACTTTGACTTAAACTCTGAACATAGATTATTACTTAACCTTTCCCATTCAGATGCAATTTTATCTTTGCTAGATACAATACCACCAATGGCAAGTTGGCAACGAATTGCCAATGGTAAGCGCTTACATTTTTTGAAGATTCAGAAGATATTTCCACCAAATCATTTGGAATATTCTAATGTTTGGGAACCTTCCCCTGATACCTATATTCACGGGTATTGCTACTATTTTATATTCGTCAATCATTTCATTTGCTATTCTTGGATTTATCCATTAAAATAATAAACCTGAGGTAGCCTATATTTCCATTTTAATAGATATATTTTAAAAAATAATTTTTTTTTAAATTTAATGAATCTTGTAGTTTGTATTGATTGATAAGTAAATAATTTTTATAATAAAAAAGTGATATATCTATTCTTACTTATTTTTTATTAATTTAAAATTAGTAGTCATATTTAAATCTAAATATAATTCAATTAAAACTAGATTGATAATACTTAAATAAAAAGTATAGATTTAAATGATTAAAATTTAATTTTTAAGAAATATTTAGTTAGATGAACTTAGATACACACAAAAAAAAAAAAAATAAAAATAGTATCATATTACTATTATAATTTTTTTAAATGTGAGGGTCTTAGCTGGTATGCCAAAAATAACTCCTCACATTTTATAAATAATATAAATTGTTTACTTTTATTCTTACGGAATGCTTTAATTTAATGTGTATACATATAATTATTTTTTTATTTGATAATAATCATTTGCTAAACTTATAATGCTGTAAAGTATGAAAAATATATTAGAAATACATTTTTTGAAGTAAGGGTATTATAAGAGTAACAAAATTATAATTTATTCCACTACAATACATGTTCATTGAGAAAGGCTTGGATGCTTTCAAGTTCATATTTTGTCTTGTGAATGCCTTTGAGCAGATTGGCTTCTTCCCTTAGTAGTGGAAGCAGTTGATCAACAGCAAGAGACACAGCCATTTCCGCTATCTGAGTTTAGCTGTACTGTGAGATGAAGACTGACTACTGTATTGTAGCCACGGTCTTATCTCTAAACTGCCATGCATTATTGGATAAGATGGGGAGGCTATGTATGAGCAATTATTTAGAATCACATGTCCCACGCTAGAGATGTTGTGTCATGCTTAATGTTTTATATATATACATAGTAAAAGCAAAAAAGTAAATTTTTATTTATATAAAACAAAAAAATATTTAAAATATTGATGACATAACTTGATTGATGAAATTTTTCATAACATGTCTCGTAAACAAGTATTTAATCACTATGTTACAAACGTTTACAGGAGTCAAGGGCCTGGGCATATGTGTGGGAGCATGGAAGGAGGACTTAAGTCACACATGGAGTGCCGTAAAGGCTATTTGTCCCAGTTCGGTATTGGATCCGTTACTCTCGTATAGGTTAAGTTATTTGAAAATATCATTTAACTTAACAAGTTTATTCAAAATAAATATATAACAAGCTATAATCTAATGTCTTAAAGGTTTAGATTATAAGTGAGATTGAAATCTATTTGTAGAATTGCTCATGATCAGCCATTGAGAAAATTCTTATTAGTATGCACGTACATGACTTGATAACAATATCACTATTTGATATATTATTTTTATTGTAACAAAAATAAATAGTGTGAAGATGAGTGTCAACCACAATACCAAACCATGGCTCTACGCAAACTACAATTGTGTAAACATGAAGGAAAAATTATAATCTAATTCTTAATATGACAAGTGATAAAGAAATACTATAATGAGATCAGTGTTAGAATTACTCGGAACAGTTGAAGTTGATGAGTCCATGACTGAGTGCTTTCTACGATTGATGAAAGAGACACAAGAAAATTCCTCCTATCACCCTTTCAGATCTTTCACGTAAGTTGTCTCAATGGAGCAACAGTTACTCTGAAGTGGTTAGGAGCAGGGCCTCTCTAGTTAATAATCAAATGAGTCAAACCTACCCACTATAGCTTAACCCAATAATAATAATCATACAACCATATCCGCTGATAAGCCCAATAACAATAATTATTTATAATATGGGCTAAACAATATAATTCAATAATTTTGACATCTAATTAATCTGGATTTAAACAAAATTTTACAGCATGAATTAATTTATGTTAGTCCACTCATAAAATATCCAACAATCTCCCACTTGGACAACATAAATCAAAACATCATATTATTCTAGATTATTATTAATCAACAATATATGGTCACAACAAGATGCCAAAATAAACCAACACGAACTATAAGCATCTCAACAATGCAGAAAATCATACTCGAAGGAGTAGTGAGATCATACATTATAAGATACTTATATCCAGTTATTCAACAACAAAGTGGAATATGGACAAATGAGAAAGCATGCCAAGCTGTAAACAAAGTGCAATTTTCCCAACAAAATGACCCAAGCATCCATCCAAGATGCTTCATAAGATTCAATAAATCTTATTACAACAACAATATTGAGACTGGGTCCAAAATGTCTCCATAATTTGCCATCACAGTATATGCATATACAATAATAGTCATAATAATTTAAATTGGACAAAATAATTATATATGGCAAAAAGAAACAACAATGACTATTGTTTGAATAATGTCTCAAATATTATCAATATCACAAAAAAACATCATAAATACGAGGTCATAACAAAATATAAGAATAAACTCACACTAATCTAAAATATTAAAGGGACCTTATTACACCCATACGGGTTACATGATCAACAAAAACTTTAACAATTATCCCTTTTGTTAAGGGATCAACAATCATAAGCTCAGTAGGGATATGCCCGACACGAGTTTTAAACTCTTGTATTTTCTCTCTCACAAACGTAAACTTTGTCTCAAAGTGTTTTGTTCGCTTTGAGCTTTTATTATTGAGAGATAAACTAACTACTGCAGAATTATCACAATATATAGTTAGAGGCCTAGAGATGCTTTCCACGAAATCGAATTCAGCAATAAAGTTTTTCAACCATATTGCTTGACGTGTAGCCTCATAACAAGCTATATACTCTGCTTCCATAGTTGACGTGGCTATAAGAGTCTGTTTGACACTCTTCCAAGAGATAGCTCCTCCAGCTAACATGAATACATAACCTGATGTGGATTTATGATCATCTGGACAACCATCATAATCAGAATCACAATAACCTGTCACCTCAAGATGATCTGACCTCCTATATGTAAGCATATAATCTTTGGTACCTTTTAGATACCTCAAAACATGCTTTGCAGCCTGCCAATATGCCATACCAGGTTTACTCAAGTATCTCCCAAGTACACCAACAACAAAAGCAATATCAGGACGTGTACAAACTTGAGCATACATAAGGCTACCAACAACAGAAGAATAAGAGATTTTCTCCATTTCTACCATTTTATTTTCAGTTTGAGGACACTGGGAATTAGAAAAATTTTCACCTTTTTGAATAGGTGCAACACAGGGCTTACAAAATTGCATATTAAACCGGTTCATGATTTTATCAATGTATCCTTGTTGAGACAACCCAAGGATACCACAAGATCTATTACGATGAATCTCGATGCCCAAAACAAAAGATGCATCACCAAGATCCTTCATATCAAAATGAGTTATAAGCATCTATTTAGTATCATTTAGAAACACATAATTACTAGCCAAAAGGATGTCATCGACATAAAGAACAAGAACAACAATTTTTCTCCCACTATTCTTTAGGTAAATGCATTGGTCAACTACATTTTCCTTAAAGCCAAGAGAGCTTACAATATGATCAAACTTCAAATACCACTGTCTAGAAGCTTGCTTCAAACCATAAATGGACCTTTTTAATTTGTAGACCATATGTTCCTTACCACTTTCAACAAAACCCTCAGGTTGGTTCATATAGACATTCTCCAATAAATCACCATTCAAGAATGCTGTCTTTACATCCATATGATGAAGTTCTAGGTCAAAATGAGCAACCAACGCCATCACAATAATACGAAAAGAGTCTTTAGTAGAGACAGGAGAGAACATCTCTTTATAGTCTATGCCCTCCCTTTGGTTGTATCCTTTAGCAACAAGTCTGGCTTTGTACCTCTCTATTCTTCCTTTAGCATCACGTTTGGTTTTAAAGACCCACTTACAACCAACAGGTTTGCAACCTTTGGGCAATTCCACCAAATCCCATACACCATTCTTTTGCATGGAAGCCAATTCATCTTCCATGGCATCTAACCATTGTGAACCATGAGAATTAGAAACGGCCTCATGGAAAGTAATGGGATCAGAATCCTCAATACAAGTAAACTCATGTTCTTGCAAATAAACAAAATAATCCCTGAACTTAGTAGGTCCAGTAAATCTAGGAACACTTTCAGATCGCCTCAATTGAGGCACAACAATATCAAGATTCTGAACATTATGATCAACATCTGGATCAATATTAGCATGAACAATGGGATCAGTGGTTTCATCATGGGCTACAACAGTCGGCATAGGCTCAGACAAAGAAGTAATAGGCACAGGAATAGTGACATGTTCTTCTCTAAAGTTGACAATACGTGGCTCCTGATTTATAACATGTTCTGAATTATTTTCAAAATAGACAGCACGGTCAGACTCAACAACTCTGGTGGTATGAGTGGGACAGTAAAATCTAGAACCCCTGGAGCCTACACAATATCCTACAAAGAAACTGCTAATTGTCTTTGAATCAAGCTTCTTTATTTCTGGATTGTAGAGCCAAACTTCTGCTTTACAACCCCAAACACGAAAATGCTTCAGAGTAGGCCTTCTCCCTGTCATAAGTTCATATGGAGTCCTTGGAACTGATTTACTAGGCACATGATTTAAAATATAGGCAGCTGTCTTCAATGCTTCTCCCCACAAAAAATCAGGAAGAGTTGAATGGCTAAGCATACACCTAACCATCTCCATGAGAGTACAGTTTCGCCTTTCAGCGACACCATTTTGTTGCGGAGTGCTTGGCATAGTATATTGTGTTTCAATACCAAAATCTTGTAAAAATCTTGCAAAGGGACCAAGATTTCTACCAGTTTCATCA